CCAACCGAATAGAAGAAACCACTGGAAAAACTTATAAATGTAGTGCAACTTATGAAAGCTATGGAAGTGTAAGTGGCGTTTCAACAGATTGGGCGAGGGCTGAATGTGATGTGAAATATCCATATGTAATTGAGTTACGCGATATGGGTGAATATGGATTCTTCTTACCACCGTCACAGATAGTTGACGCTGGTAAGGAAGGCTTAATTGTTGTGGAAGCCGTAGCAGACGTCATCAGTAGTATATATGAATTTGAATTTGTTTTATACTGATTTTAGGAGTTTTCTAGTTGAAATTTATTTATTTTTCTTAATAAAAATCGATCAATATTTGCTTATTAAATAAATCTGTGGTCATAAGCAATAACCGCCTAAGTCGACTTAAGAAAGAATTGAGTTATATATGCTATCGTATTCTCCAACTACTGTTCCATGCGTATGTGAAATCCCCATCGCGCCAGCTAGACTATTTAAAAAGTTATAGACAAAAATATGTTGGCTTCCCCATAAGGCTAACATTACAATCCAAATGTTTAAAACTTTTTTTCTCGACTTAGGCGGTTATTGCTTATGACCACAGAAATGTAGAAGCTGCCTAGTTGACTTTAAATTAGTGAACTTTACCAACTCTTCCTGATATAAGTCTTCTAAGTTATTTTGATCGTTGATGACCTCTGCATGACTTTGAAATGCAGTGATCATTGTTGATATTCAAGTGACGGTATCCTGCACTAATCGCTTTTTCTTAAAATTGTATATCTTTCATTTAAATTTATTTCAAGAAGTCGGGTGAAAGGTCTGTAATTTTAAGAAAAATAATTTGCTTAGTGTTTATGCATACGTCCCATTGTCTGTTGTAACTCTTTGATAGGAGCACACCTGCATGACATTGTCACCAGTGTCATCGTCAGCTGTATGTCGTTTAGGACTCACAGCAAGTGCGATGATATCCCCAAATCCTGTTGTTGTTGTTGTAGCGGCTACAACAACCCCGCCCAGATCGGTTGGTATCTCAGTCGTTGTCGTCAAGTTCCACTAACGGCAGCCCCAAGAAGTGTTCAGCCTCTATGGGGTCGGTCCACAGGGACAGCGCCGTTAGGGTTGTGGGGTTTTCCGGGAATGCGAAGAGATGTTTCGAGTCGTGAGGGGTCTCTCCGCATGCCGGACATTCATTCGGCACATCCGCATTTAGCCTACTCAGGTAAGAGTTCAGCCTGCTGCAGTAGCCAGAGCGAAGTTGGGCTATTGTTGTTCTTGTCTCCCGAGGCAGATGGAGCTCCGTCGCGTCAATGTCCGGTGTTTGTGTGCCTAGAACGGCATTCACAGGTCTAGAGTTTACATAACTCGAGACTGAGTCTCTGTGAATGCCGTTCAGGGCCTGTTGGTATGCTGACGGGTCCAGAGGCTGCTTAATGAACCCCTGGACTTCGTCCGTCAGTTCATATAGATGCCTCCTGACGTGTCTAGGCGAGGGCTCCTCTGCAAGCAGCTGTCTGTTTGGGTGGCCGCATCTGTGGCTCCCAACCAGAAACTGCTTGCAGAGCATTGTGTTGCGCTCCCTAATTGGGAGCATTTTCGCCTCGTCATTGAGGTGGTGTTCGGGTGACATCAGGAGGCATCCGGTCGCTGACCTGAGTGCGGTGTTTTGTGCTGTCTGTAGCTTCATCCACTGCGTCCTACTAGTCCCCGGCGACCACATTGGTGATGCGTAGTTTAAAACCGGCCGGCCTATTGCCTTGTATGTTGCCAGCAACGTTTCTTTGTCTTTGCCCCAGGTACTGCCGGCTAGCGACTTGAGGACTTTGTTGCGGCTCTGTACTTTGTTGACAATAGCGGTTGCGTGCGCAGAGAAGGAGAGCAGGCTGTCGAATGTTACTCGGAGTATTTTGGGGTTATTCACCGTCGGAATTGGTGTATCATCGACATGAATTCCCAGCGGTAGCCTGACCTCCTTCGTTCAGGTGGTGAACAAGGTCGCAGAGGATTTCGTAGGGGAGAGGGCTAGACACTTTGCAGTGAAGAAGCGAGAAAGATCGGAGAGATACCCGTTTACTTTCGAACACAGGTCATCAATTCCATTCCCAGTCGCCATGATCGAGCAATCGTCGGCGTAGTAGACAATCGAGACTCCCTCTGGTGGTTGAGGGAGCTTTGAAATGTAAAAGTTAAACAGTAGCGGGGATAGGACACCACCCTGTGGAACCCCCTGTTTGATTTTCCTAAGATTGCTCGATTTGTCTCTAAACATTACCGACGAGTGTCGACCACTCAGATAATTTGCCGACCACCGTTTGAGCCTCTGTGGGAGAGAGGAAGCCTCTATATCTTCTAGTAGCGTAGAATGGCTGACAGTGTCAAAAGCCTTTGACAGGTCCAACGCTACTAGAATCGTTCTCTCACAGGGACGGTTACGGTTGAGGCCACGAGTTATCTGAGTGTTTATGGCGTTAAGTGCTGTTGTTGTACTGTTGTTGTACTGTGCACTTTACGGAAACCATGCTGATGCTTCGCTGGGGTCAGGTGGTTCGTGAAATACGGGAGCAGCAGGGCCTCAAGTGTCTTCGCTACCGGGGAAAGGAGCGTTATCGGTCGATACGAATCTCCTTTGTTGGCAGATTTCCCCGGTTTGAGCAGTGGGACCACTCTCCCCACCTTCCAGATGTCTGGGATGATGAGAGTGGCCATAGACAAATTGAGGACCTCCGTTAGGTACGCTACTCCCGCAGGACCCAAATTTTTCAGCATCAGCATGCATATTCCGTCGGACCCATGGCTTTGGAGGCTTTCGCCTTCCCGATGGCCACCTGAACTTCACCGCAAGTGAAAGCAAGGGGCGCACAATTTGTTGGCAGTTTGTGCAGCCTTCTGGTCACTCGACGCTTGGTTTTGTCCACCGGAGGATGAAGTATGAACTGCCGGCTAAAGTAGCTCGCGCATCGCTCCGGGTCCAACGAGGCATGGTCGCCGAAAGAAATTTCGACTCTGTCGTCGTGCTTCGTCGGATTGGATAGTGACCTCACGGTTGACCAAAGCTTACTCACACCAAAGGTGAAGTTACAGGTCTTCAGATGTTCTTCCCACTTCTTCCGCTTATGTACGTTCACTAGTTGCCGAATATCCGCGTTGAGATCCCTGATACGGGGATCACCGGATCGGCCTGACGAAGGCTGTCACGCTCATCGGCTAATACAGCCGCTTCGGCAGGGAAATTTGGACGTGGGTCAGTGATGCATCTTGCCGGTACGAAGCGGGATGCAGCAGCAGTGACAGCCCTGGGGAACTTACGTGGACGTCGGTTGGTGTGGGGAGAGCAGCGAAGGTGTTTTCATATGTATGTTCGGTGCTCCGCTGACTATTGTTATGTCTGGCGAGCTGCAGCAGCTGCCCATAATCCTGGTGGGTGCGTCGTCGTTCATTGTGCAGAATGTCGAATCGTCTATCTGCTCAGCCAAATCGGTTCCCCTACGATCGTTTGACAGGCTTGAGTGCCAAGGATCGTGGTGCGCATTAAAGTCACCTACTACCATTCTGTTTTCACCTCTGACGAGCGCACCTATATCAGGTGACAGGGGGTATGTAAACGTTGAATATTTCGAGCTCAACATCGCCTGACTGGATAGCAATGCCCTGACATTCTAGGGTCGTATCCCTGCGGTCGATGTCTTCTTCGATAGGACGATACTGCACGGTGTGGTGCGTGATGAACGCTAAGCCACCACCATTATCTCGCACGCGATCTCGACGGTGCACGTTGTACCCGGCACAATTCAACAATGTTGAATTGCTGTGCAGCTTCGTCTCTTGGACCGCAGCTATCAGTATACCATGCCTTCCCATAAAGACGGTTTTCTCCTCGATCTTGCTCTGAAGCCCGTTGCAATTAAATTGAAGGAGCTTCATGTGGTTCGGGAGACGTGTGGTAATGCGGGGTGTGAGTGATGTGTGTGGCCGTGACGCCATTGGCTGTGTGCGCTGCTGAGGTGGTTGCCGCCCTGTGGTGGTGGTGGGTGGCGTCGCGGTTGAAGTTTGCGACCGTGCTGCGCAACACGGGCCCTCGAAGTTCCTCGTCCAAACTCGCGTGGTGCGCAGACCTGAACATGCCCTAAAGTGGCACCAGCCAAGGCAGGTGTTGCACTTGACTGATGTCACATTACGGAATATCCTGGTCTGACATACTGTGTAGATTGTAGGCGGAACCAAGAGTTGTTGGCGGCGGCGTGTGCGTGGTGTTGCGGTTGTGTGTGTTCTGTGGTCTGTCGCGGTTGTGGTGTGGTTTATTGTGTTGTTATGTTGTTGTGCTGTGGTGTTTGTGTGGGACTGCTCAGGTGGACTGGGGTTAGCCGTGGAGGCTGCTCTGTTTGAGCAGCAGGTGGCCACATACGATTTGGTCCACTGCCGATGTGTCCGTAGTCCTGAGCAGACTCTGAGGTGACTCCACCCCTCCCAAGCATTACACTTGACTGAGGTGGAGTTGTGGTGTAGTCGTCTCTGGCATACAAAGCTGGTGTAGGTTTCTGGCCCTGGGTTTGACTCGATGCCAGCCCTGAGTAGAAGAAAACGTAGCGAATGTAGCCCTATGGACGAACAACTTCTGAGATACTTCGCCGACCTAAATGGGGTTAGATCGCCGAAACAACAGCCCTTGCTCGGGTAAAACCGGAGTCATTCCGGTACGTAGAACCGGCTGTCGTGGGAATGATAACTAAATTCTTGTTGCTGTTGTTGTAGCAGCATACAAATTCCCCAAAGACTTTTTGGGGAGTGTTGCTGGAGTGACAGTCCTTGGCCAGATATAAATCTGGGTCGTTCCGGTTACGTAGACCCGACTGTCGTGGCTCATAAGTGACGATGTCCCCGGTGACCATTTTCGCTACTGGGCCACTTTCACAATTATTGCCATATGCATTCATATGTAGTATAATGTACGTATGTACAAAAAATGTATGCGTACACATGTGAACTTAGATTAATAATATGGATTATTTATTTATAGCCCTGCATAGATGAATAGTTAAGCTTGCGTGAGGGCGCCCCTAACTCACCGTATCTGTATCATCATCGTCTCCATTTACCAGTGCCATGGTTGTCACATCGGCTTCAGTTGCTGTCATATTTTGCATGTCCTTCGGTGTCGACTCTTCAGAAATTACCGACACCGATGGCAAATTATCAACAAAAACATCAAAGCGTTGATTGCCAATTGGTGTGGCGGCAGTTGGTGTCGGCGTCTGAGGTGTGGTAGTAGCTGGGGGTGTAGACATTGTGCACAGCGTTGCAGGCGATCTGTTTTTTTGTGACTGCACTATGTCTTGATAGTTACAGTTGCCGTTGGTCAGTCGAGTGGGCGCACTTACTGCCGTTTGCTTCTGAACTGGGCAAATATTTTCAATGCTCTTCGTATATTTACTATTTAGTTTAATGTTTTGTATTGCCACAGTTAGTGGTTGAGCTTGTTGCAGCGGTGAAGGATTCTGTTTTTGCTCTGGAGATAATGACTGTTTCGAGTGAGCCACTCGTATTTTGTCCACTCCATGTGCGTTAGGCTTTTTATTTTGCCCTGATTTGTCTGTTTTATCAGCACTTCCTAAAAGCGGTTGCTGTTGCATTAGTAGCTCAGCTTCACGCAAAATCTCATCAACGCTACGTGTATCCGAATTGTCTGCCAAACGACTAACTTCCTGAAAAATGCTTTCGGCATCTGCTTCAGTACAACATTCTTGTTCCCTTGCCAGAAATTCTAGAATGGAGCTGCTGGTGAATTCATCGAAATCAACAGTAATGGGCGATGATGAAGTAGATGGTGACTCCGACGAACAAGACAAGGAGCTGGAGACTGTTCCTCTCATGCTGGTACTACCATTTATGCCGCTTTTGTTGTTATTGAGCGATTTTACAGTGGGTGTGGTTTTTTTATTTTCAGATTTTTCGGACTGCTGGGTAGGCAGTGCATTTTGTTGAGCCAACACTTTAGACATAATTTATCACACTTTCTTTGGTAAAATTTTGTAAAATTGTATTATGAAATTTTAATTTGGGCAGCACTAAGAATGAATTTATTAAAAGCTTGGCTGAATTGAATCGAAAAATGCAAAATTTTAATATGTACTAAAGATTTAACAAATTCACGTATGTATGCATACACGAGAACAACTTCAAATAGTCTGCGTATTGCTTGTTTCTTAAACTTTTCAAATTAAACTTGTTTCACTTCAGTGACTGCTTTCAAGAAAAACACTGAACTTTGCACAAAACACTCACCATAACAAGCAAAAATAAATGTAAAATGTTTGGCAAATTTTGGACGGCCCAAATATCAACGCTATTTCCACGGCGTCTTCGCGCAATGACCATTCACAACCGATTGCTCAGCGAGTCAAAACGCCAGCGATTTCGAGGACAATTCGGGCGACCGCACATACGAAGGATAACACGAACAAAATGAAAACACTTGTCCTACGTCTGTGTCCTGTTTTTGCTTTGTCAATTATCCTTTTGGACGCTTCTCAATTTTTGTTTTGTTTTTAATATTGTGGTTGTTGTTGTGATACATTGTATACAACGTTGCCATTTGTCTAATAATTTAGGAAACAGTGTTGAAAAGCATTCCAAAGAGAATGTATTAAAGGCCCTACACACCGATCGATTTATCGGCTAACCAGTTGGCCAAAGAACGTAAATGTATAAGAAGCGACAACTCGTTAAAGTCGGCGAGTGAGGTCTGAAAGGTTGAGATGAGGAGTTCGCGTTCGTTTTAACATCCATTTTCGTAAATGAATTCGCCGCACATATGGTTTCGCGGCGATAAAGAACGTTAAGAAAAAGTGACCGATGATAGAAATAATAAAATGAAATGAGAAAAAACATGGCCGTAGCTCTTTTTGTTTATTTGCTGACGGCATTTAACAATTTGCATGCGCATGTGCATAGATTTACTTTATTTTATAATTTTAAACAAATATAAGTAAATTAAATACATGCGCTATGCAAGACCTTTATAAGCTTCCTTTTTAGTATGGAAGTTGTAAAGTTGTAATTTATGGATGAAATTACCTGTTTTATATCAACCAAAGAACGTAAATGTACATTTGGGCCGGCACATTTTCAAAGTAACGAGTTGTCGCTTCTTATACATTTACGTTCTTTGCACAAGATCACGTAAGAACAAGAGAGTGAAAAAAGTCGATTTTTTAGCGGGTTCTACGCCATCTTGTTTCACTGGAAAACGAGCGAAAAGTAAACAAAGCAAAGAAAACCACGAAAACCAAAATTAGCCAAAATTATTGTCAGCCTCTTTAAACGCACAATTTAGGTAAAATGATGCAACAAAATGCTTTAAAACGTGTTGTCATGTTGAATTAACTCTTCTTTACTTGAATAAAAGTGTCAAATAGTGGTGCTTGTAATGTTAACAAACGCTCAGCTGACGAACTCGCTCTCGCAAACTTTTTTCTCAAAACCAGTTACAAATACAACGTCGCGTTCTTACGTAATCTTGTATTTTTGGTTCATGGTCAAAATCGGCAAAACCAAAGTAGCGGTACCACTGACGGCGCCTCCTTTGTTCGCTGCACCATGATCTTTCCAAACATTTTTTTGCCTCTTGCGCAAAATTATCTAAAATTCTTCAAAGTCCGATGGAATGGTTCTGAGAAAAATTATTCCAGGGGAAAGTTAAAAGATTTAAATATTCAGTTTCCGCTGCTTTGCTTTCCTTCAAAGTCAAATAGTGAATTGGCAGGTCCCTGAAAGTCGCCCTCTTGTGATTCACACACTTTTCTGGTGACAAAATCAAATCTTTTTTAAAAGTATTTAATTGACTAGGTAATCGTTTCAAAAGTACTTCGATTAGGGTGATTCAATATTTTTGAGTCTTTTAATATGCTTCTTAAGTCAAGTTTATCACGCAGTTCATTAGCCTCTTCTGTAAAATTATCGTGGAAAACTAAGTTTTCTATATTTTTATAATTGGAAAAAATTTATTTGAAGGGAAAAACCCGCCAATGGCGATTTCTTAAATTTTTACGCGCAAATATCCAAAAGAAAATCTGGCCACTCTGTTGGGTACCGAAAAATTTTGGGAGTATTTGGTACCGAGTACTAGGTACCGACAATGCAGCAAATCACTATTGTCAGAAAAATTCTTTGGACAGTGCTATTGGAGAGACGTGTTTTTGCTGATTTTTCTTCAATTTGTTGCTAATAAATTTAATATTTGAGATTTTGCGACTATTTGGTCTTAACTTGTGCATAACTATCTAGAAAACATGTTATATCTAGAGGATTATCTTGAAAGTAAGTTCATGTTCCCACAACCGTATAAAGTTTTCAGTGCTTCGCGGATCAAGCGCACATTTGGAGGTTACGTGTGGTG